CCCACCTGGGTTCGGCGGTCGCCTCCCCACAGCCCTTCCCTCTCCGGCGCCCACCCGCCGCCCCTCTGCGTCCGCGGAAGGCGCCCGGAGTCTGGCTAGACACTGACCGCGTGCTCCGGTCTCGGTCGGCGGGACCGAGGTATTCATCTCAGGTCCCAGCCCCCAGCGCAGTGCCTGGCGCCCGAGCGCTAATGCAAGTGAATTGCATCGAAGCTGGAAGACGGACTGACACCTCCCGAATTCTATCTCCACCCTGAACTCTAGGCTTGGACATCCATCCCCCTTCTCAGCGTCTCCGTGTAGATGCCTAACAGACATCGCAAATGTAACACTTCTGTGCGTTGCTCCCATCCCTCCCCGACCCCTCCGAGGGTGCTAACGTCGTTTTTCACCACCTTTGCTGGACACCCTAAGCTCCCATCCTGCGGCTCCCCGTTCCTCCTCCCCGGCTCTACTTTCCCCCATGGCCCTTCCCACTGCCGACGATGACGTGGGCTTATTGTGTCTCCCCCTCCGTGAGGACAGAGGCCTGTTCTGTCCTGTTGCCGGCTGTGTCTCTAATGGAAAAGGGACAGTCGGACACACAGTGAGTGCTCACTATTCACGGAATAACTGATTTCCTATAACAAGCTTTCGTCGTGATTCCATGTCTGCAACTTATTCACAATTCCAAACTTAAAAATTTCTGCATCCAAACCCAACTTTTTCCTTTGTCCTTATATCATAATCCTGGTCCTTACATTTCCATTGTGCATGCACACACACACACACACACACACACACACGACCCCCCACTCAGTGATTCCAAAGCCTATAGGAGGGACTTGGGCATGATAATCTCATTGAAAGAGGGTCCTAGAGATGCATTTTGCTTAGAAATGTAGAAAATGTCAACCGTCCGTAGGAAAGAAGGGGAACCCCTGGGAGGGGGCGGGAAAGGTGCCAGGGTTCCTCTTAGTACCCCACCTCTCTTACCCACCTGATCCCCTGCCGGGAGCCGTTCCAGCATGCTCAGCAGGCTGCATCACCTGGAGTGGCCAGGGCATTTCCCCAAACCTGAAAAGGATGCATTAAATATTTGCTGCCAGACAGCTCAGGGCATCTGTATCTACATGATATTGCCTCCTACTGGCCAAACACCTGAACAGCCATAGGCAAGTCTTCCAATCTGACAATGGACTCGGTAAATGAAACCTGACCCTTTGAAGTGTATATCTCTGCCTCGCCTCAGGACAATTTGTGTTAATAAAAAGCATGGGGTCCTGAGACGAGGAGAACTTAGTTTCTTTAGCTAGGCTCCTCTGACCCCCAAATGCCTTTCAAAATTATGCTTCGTCTCTGGACTCTTATTTAAGTTACACACAGCCCCTTCTCCAGATTGCTGAACCCTTCTTAATGCTGGAGCAAGGACCCCGGCAACTCCCAAATCTCACAGACCTGGGAATTATTCTCGACTTCACCTTCTACCATCCCTCTCCCCTTTCTAACCATTCGGTGCAGGTCATTGTGTCTCCACATATCTCACCCGTTCCTCTTCTCCAGTCTCCCTAGCACCTGCCCTATGAGGCCCCTTCATCATCCTAACTATTGCGACCACCTGCTGAATGATGTCCCCGCCCAGCTTCTTCCCACTCCAGCCACCCACCCCACGGGTGATGGCATGATTTTCCTTAAGGTTGCAAGGATCTCTTCGGTTGTTTGGGTCCAGCTTCAGATCCTGTTCCTTGTGACCACCTTTTTTATTGCCGACCCCAGGCTCCCCTTTCACACAGCACATACTTCCAGTCTAGCTCTCACCATGTTCTTGTTCCTTGTTTACATGTCTGTCCCTCACACTCAAGAAACGATGAGCTTCTGAAGGAAGGAATTTCGGGGGCCCCAGGCTCTCCAGCCCAGCACCAGGCCGGTGGTGGACCTCAGAAACATGGACCGACTGGCTGACCCTCTCTTGCTCAAGAGTCCCTGCCGTCTCCATGCCCACAGGAGTGGTCTGCAGAACTCAAACCCGTCACTGCCGGAGACCCAGCTCTCCTGCCAAAGGAAACAAAAAGACTAGTTTTCCAGACAAGAACACTTGCCGTCTTAGCAGCATTCTGTGACTGCATTTGCTGGTTATGACACACATGTTGCAGTAGGGTTACTGGGAGTAAAATGTATTGCTATAACTAAAAACACAAATCAATACAGTGTTTTCCTCAGTAGCCAAAAGTTGCAATCATGTGGTTGATCACACTTTTTGGCGCTGTGAAGATAAAACGCAAAGGTAAGAGACCACTGAAGAGCTTGGTAAGGCATGAGAGGAACAGGCACAGAAACCAGTTGGACTGTTGTCTGCCTCCTGGTCTCCCCCGAGGATAAAATCGCAACGGGTGCCCAGCCTCCTTTTATGCGATTCCTTCTGCCTGGAAAGCCTGTCTCACCTCGGGTACCTGGGAGCCGGAAGAAGAGGGAGTAAGACTCAGATTCCGAATGGATGTTGAGGTTCAAATGGTCCCCTCCATTCGTTCCTATACCCAGAGGGAAAGAAGATAATGTAAGTAAAGGCAGGAACACGCCACCTCCTGCCACAGGGGTGAGGATCTGTGGGAAAATGTGAAAAGAAGGGACTGTCCTAAGCTTTTATAGCCACTTCTCATTTGACACTCAAAGCAACAACGGGTAGGCAACGTTTCCATTTGCATTCCATCCACAAACATCTCTTTATTCATCCTTCCACAAAAATCTCCCCAACACCTCAGATGAATCAGCCAAACGCCAGAGACACAAAAATAGGACAAAACAGAGCCCTTGCCTTCAGGGAGAAAGACACAGGCGCAGAGGAGGCGCTGACCCACGAGGCGACACGCAGGCCGCAGGGGGCGGTGTAAAATCACACGCAGGACTGACATTTCCCGGGCCTGCCTTGCTCCTCGTGCGGCTCTCACGTGGGGGAGAGGAGACCCTTCTGAGAAACCCAGGCAAACCGCATTTGGCATTCGGAGAGCAATCGCTTTCTTCTCCCCGTCCTCCTCAACCCCGTCCCAAAGGCCAGCATTGCTGCCAAGACCGCGGCACCAGGAGAGACAGCTCGAGTCCCAGGAAGCCCTGGGGCTGGCTTCTGTGGCTGATGCTGAGGCGAACGTAGGTAAGGGGTTCACCAGGCAGTGAGTGGGGGCCGGAGAGCTCCCCAGGCAGACACGTTAAGGAGATATTCTGGGCAAAGGGAAGAGTTTGTGCAAAGGCGTGGAAGCGGGAGAAACCATAGTCGTTCAGGGAACGCAGGCCTTTAGTGCGAAGGGGGCAAGTATGACAGCAGTTACCAGGAAACGAGGCTGCGGAGATACATCCCTCCCACCTTAGGGAGGACTTTGTCTGCCACCACAACCCATGTAAAATGAGTGCTGCCCGCCGCTGTGGCTCAGTGGCTGAGCATTGACCCATGAACCAGGAGGTCAGTGTCTGATTCCAGGTGGGTCGGGGACACAGGCCTGGGTTGCTGTCTCCATCCCCAGTAGGGGGCGTGCAGGAGGCAGCCGATCATGATTCTCTCTCATCATTGATGTTTCTCTTCCCCTCTCTCTCTCTGAAATCAGTACAAACTTACCAAGAAATGAGTGTGCTGTGTTCTCGGGAAAGGGGGCGGGGGGAGTGTTATGTAGCAATAAAGAGAAATAGTTAGACATGTAGAGTGGGATTGGATTGACGGCCAAGGGGAGGAGTTTGGATTTTAACTTGCAGACCGTGGAGCATGATGGGAGTTTGGGAACTACCTGGGAGGTGACTGCAAGGGCCGCTTTGCACCTCACAGGTCCTGGGTCTGGTCGGCGGTGGCACATGGCTCTCCCAGCACCAGTGCTACCTGCATGCCCATGTCCAGCCAGCAGTGACTGAGCACCAGTTCCCGAGTTCTCTTTCCCTCCTATAGTCATTCTTTTAACATATATGTATTTATCGATTTCAGAGAGGGAGTGAGGGATGGAAACATAAATAATGAGAATCATTGATCGGCTGCCTCCTGCACACTTCACACGGGGGATCAAGCTTGAAACCTGGACATGCGCCCCACCAGGAATCAAACCATGACCTCCTGGTTCACAGGTTGATGCTCCACCACTGAGCTGTTATGCCCAGATTTCAGGATCCCCAAGAGACCACACCAGGGAGCCAGCCGTGTCCGATGCAAAAGCATAAGAGTCTTTATTCAAGCTAGCTCGTGCTCCCCGTCCACCACACTCGCCCATGCAGCGACAAGAGGCAGAGAGAGCGAGCTTTGTGGGTAGAGGGGTTTTATAGTAAGGGGAGGAGAGAGGACTGTGGGCCCTGCCGATTGGCCAGGCGCAAGTCGGTGTCTTGTTACACAGGATGTGGTCGTATCTATGGCGCGCACTTCCCTTGATTATCATTGGTTAGTTTAAAGAAATCCTAGGTGTGGCTAGCAGAGGCTTGGACTTCCGGGAAGAAGCTCCTTGCTGAGCACATGGCTATGGCTGCTGCCCAAAAATGGAGGATTCGGGGCAAGATGGAGGGCGTAGCCCTCGCCCTTTCAGAGCCACACCAGCCTGGCTCCTATATTAGTTCTTCATTCAGTTCATCTGCTCAGTGGGCTGGCACCATCAATAAACGTGTTCTCTCAAGTTTGTCAAGTACTAGTACCTGGCCCTCTGGACAGAATTTATTATTTAGGATCCTGCTTAATCCGAAGTGGCTGCTCCCACGGCCTAGGGGGCAACCAGACCTTCAGACCTTTTCCCACAGGAGGGGGGGGGGCGCACAGCAAAGGTGGGGCTCCTGAGCTCTGTGCAGCCCCCTCTCGCCGAGGTGACTTACCTGCCAGACCATCCTCCCTCTCTCCAGACGGGACGCCCCTCTGCCCAAGGCCCGCGGTGATTAATTGCCCCTTTAATATCAGAGCCTCAGTCTTCAGGGACGGAGGCGTCACGTTCGCTCTTCTCCGTGTGAGAGCGGGGCCCCATTCATTCTCGTCCGGGCAGCATAATAAATAACCTGGCCCTGTTGGCAGGGATTTTATTAGAGACTGATGGGACATTTAACAATAACTGGGGGCCTGTGATTTATTAGGTGGGGCGGCCCGTGGCGTCTCTGAAGGCTGGGAACGTGGAATGTAATTGATAAAGCGGCTGTCAGCCGCCGGGAGATGCACTCAATAGAATATGCATTGGAGGGATTCTCGCTGGGGCTGTCAGGAGGGTGTCTGCTCGTCATAGCAGCTTCGAGGAGGATGCTGTCTGCTGGATATCTGGGGGAGACACGAACGCCCAGGAGGGGACCCTGAAGGGGCCCGGGAGGGCTGCACCTGTCAGCTGCCCAGCCTGATGGGAGGAGGTGACACAAAGGAGCAAAAGGCAAAAAGCCCCCCCCCCCCAGGACTCCCATGGCCTTCGGGGGCCTTTGTCTCTCTCCGGTGAGCTGCCCGGGAACAGAGGTGCTGAGCACCCGCTTCCTGGCAGAGGAGGGACATGGGAGGCTGAACCGGCCAGAGGAGAGGTTTCTTCTGGAATTTGAAACCTCTGAACCCTGAGGTGTCTGCACCGAGACCCCCTGGCCTCCTCTCCAGCCTGACATTATACACACACCACCACCCCGACCCCAGTGACCCTCCTGCCCCCCAAGGCACACACGCCGGTGACCCCACACCCACGCCGCCCCTTGAACCCTGCTCCAGGGGGCAGCTTGTTCGGCCACTGCTGATGTCCTGCCAAGAACGGAGACTCAGACGGATGGAGTCTCACCTGTTTTTGTTGCTGTTTCCCAGCTCCGGACCCCAGAATCCAGGCAGAGCACCTGGAAAAAAGCATATGGGTCCCTTACCCCCAGGGCCCACCCCCCACCCCTCACCCTCCACCCAGGTCCTGACAATGAGGCAAATTGGGTTTATCTCCGGGGCCATCGATGATGGCACAGATGCTGCACAGCTCTGTCCTCAGGCGCCTCGAGCCGCTCCAGTCAGCGCTGCTCACATGCTCTACCCCCCACCCCTCGGGCTGCCCTCAGCTCTAAACCAGGCCACGTAAGGCAGACAGGGGCTTTCTCTGGCCAGAGTCCCTCCTTTGATCCTCCGCATCTTTCTTAGGTCCCAGGAGCCTGGCCTGCCTCCCAGGTCCCTCCTGGGACAGGAGGGGGGGCAACAGCCAGGGCAGAAAAAGTAATTGTCACTGCCTAATCGGAGCCTCGGTGGTGACACCCAGGGACCTCGGAGCAGAAGGGATACAGCAACCAGCTTGATTAGATCAAACCTCTCCCGCAACCTCGTTAAATTAAACTGACAGGCGGGAAGCAGAGGAGGGAGGGCAGAGGGATCGCCGCCTCGGGTGGGGGGCAGGGGCCCAGCGCCAGGCGGTGGGAAGACCAGACGGTCTGAGAGCAGCAGCCCACCCCTTCCCTGTGCCGCCTGAGATGGGAGGTGAGGGGTGTGGGTGTGAGGTGCGCATGTCCCTCTCCGAGCTCAGGCTGCGACACAGACGCCCGGCGGACTGCTGCCGCCCCCAGGCTCCGAGCATGTGCTTGGCCACGGTGCTCTTGACCTTCCAAAGGGCCTGTAGACACTTTCCCTTCCCACGGGCAGGTAGCCTGGGATTACCTGCCCCACCTTACAGCTAGAGCGAACGAGGTGTGGAGAGGTTATAGGGCCGTTTACAGGGCCCTGTCGAGGCAGCAGAGCCGGTCCAAGACCCCAGGTTCCCTGTCTGCCGTCAGGCCCGCGTCGCCTCCCACATCCGCCATATGGCAGAACGTCCCCGATTTAGTCCCTGGACTGCCATCTCTCCTCCCACCCACCAGAGCGACGGAGCCACACAGCTTGCTTTGTGGGCCACGGGCACATGCCAACTCTCAGCTGCCTCAGCGCAGCCCACCTGCCACACGCACAGCCAGCTTCCAGAGCCAGGAGGTCACCGCAGGCCTCACGCCCCTCTCCACACGCCCAGGCCCTTCCCACCGCTGCCCAGCCGCCTCATTACAGTTCGGGGGAGGGGGAGAGAGTGTCAGCAACACCAGCAACAGCAACTGGAGAAGATCACACCGATAAGCTGGCGTCCTCACCTGCCAAGGCTAACTTTCCACTCCCCGGTGGGCGAGAGCGCGTTTCAGTGTCTGAGCCTTGTGCAGGCTCACACGCTCATGCGCGCACACACACACACACACACACACACACACACACACACGGATACTAACGCCTCGCCCGGGTGCCCTGTCCCCACCTGGGAGGCACTCTGGGATCTGTGTATTGACACCTGCACCCCTTTCCAATTCTCCTTCCCTGGGAGGGGGCAGGGGAACCCCAGGATGGGGTGCTGAGGGTGGTGCACGCTGGCTGCTGGGCACAGGGTTGGACCCTGCCTCCCCCCAGGGCACACTCACCACCGCCCGGGAATGACTGCATGGGGGCGGGGTGGGGGGGGGGACAAAGGGCAGGGGGAAGGGTAGGGAGGGGCAGACTGTCACCACTGCCCCCTGAAGGACGTCTGGGTGAGAGACGGACGCACATTTTCTCCATGAGGACAAGCAAGTGTAAACACCACTCCCTGGGGAGAGCGTGTATGTGCCAGGCCAGACACGGCATCATCATGCTTGTTCCCATGGTTACTGCATGATTCCGATCCCTGAGAAAGATAGCACACAGCAGACAGACAGAGGGGTCCGAGATGGTTAGGCAGATATCACCAGCCTCCTAAGCTCGCCTGGTGCTGTGACTGGCCCCTCCCATCCTGACACCTCCAGTCTATCATCTGAAACCATAGCACCGATGGTCTCAAAGGCCAGGAGTTGGGTTCCTCTAGAAACACCTGCCGAAGTGAGATTGGGGGCGGGGTGGGGGGGGCTTGCCTGGTGGACAGGGTAGAAAGATCGGTGGGTCTGCTTTTCTGGGCTGGTTTTGCCATTAGCAACGTGAGTGACGAGGGAGAATCCCCTAACCTTTCTGCACTTTCCTGACTTGTAAAATGAAATGCTTGGGCAGGAAATGTTAGAGTGCTCAAACTTTAGGGAGCGCAGAGGAGAAAGCAGAGGTTTAACCAAAGAGGTTAAAGTTACTTGTCTCGCCCTGGCCTGTGTTGCTAGGTGGTTAGAGCATCGGCCCACACACCGAAAGGTTCGATTCCCCATCAAGGGCACATACCTGGGTTTCAGGTTCAATCCCCAGCCCCTGTTGGGGCACATGGAGGAGGCAACCAAATGATGTGTCTCTCTCACATCGAAGTTTCTCTCTCTCTCTCTCTCCCTCTCTCTCTCTCGGCCCCTCCCTTCCTCCCACTCCCTCTAAAAAGCAATGGAAAAAAATATCCTCTGGTGAGGATTGACAAACAGAAAAGTTTTAAAATAAAATTACTCGTCCGTTCCAAAGGGTGTGGATTCTGGAGCCCGAGCCAGGGCCTCTGGTGCCCGGAGGGTTCTGGCTCCTGTCTCCTTCCTCATCTGCAGGATGGAGGCAGAGGAGCCCCGGCCTCAAGCGTCTGGGAGGAGCAGGCCAGAGCCTGACACAAGGAAGGCCTTGAATGCACGGAGGAGCCCTGTGTCAGCAGCAGGCCGGATGCTCAGTCCCCGCCCCCCGCCCCGGCCCTGACTTCTGGTCTTTCCACGAGCTCACAGTCCCCTGATTATCTAGAAGGTCCCTCTCAGCCCCCCGATGCTGTGACGCTAAGTCAGAAAGATGAAAATGCTAGTTATGTCCCAAACCCTCCAGGCAGAGACACAAAAGCCCATTTGGGGTTCATTATTCATTCTCCGTCGCCTTAGTCGCTGCGGTGGATGATGATTCATGGGGAATAATCACAGCAAAGAAAACCTGTCCGCAGGCGGGAGGGGGCGGGGCGGGAACAGCCCGAGCTCCTTTGCATGTTCAGCTCCTGTTTTTCAATATGTGTCTTCATTTGTTAAGCGATGACAGTGTTTCTTGGCCTCGTTGGCTCTCCGCTCTGGAAACCTGAGGCTTTGTCTTGGTACAGACCGCTGCCGCTGCCACTGCCGCTGCCGGGAGCCGCTGCCCACCCCACAAAACCCCAGGTGAGCAGAAGCCTCCACAGAAGCCGCTGTCACGCGGACACTGGGTCCCCTCAGGGTGTCCAGGCCGAAATCTCCACCATCCCCCAGAGCTGAGGTCTGATCAGGGCTAAGACAGGTCTCTGGCCCCTGAAAAGGAGCGGAGGTGGATGGAGCTGCCCGGTGGAAGCGAAGACACACTAAGCCCGTGGTCGGCAAACTGCGGCTCGCGAGCCACATGCGGCTCTTTGGCCCCTTGAGTGTGGCTCTTCCTAAGCCTTAGGAGCACCCTAATTAAGTTAATAACAATGTACCTACCTATATAGTTTAAGTTTAAAAAATTTGGCTCTCAAAAGAAATTTCAATCGTTGTACTGTTGCTATCTGGCTCTGTTGACTGATGAGTTTGCCGACCACTGCGCTAAGCCAAACCCGAGAGGTGACCTCTTTCCCTCCTCACTGCACAGCCCGGGGAGGGAGGCAGGCAGCCTCCTTTCTCTCTCGCTAACAAGTCTCTCCCTGGCAGGCTGCCAACCCCTGGTCCTCGCCCACAGCTACTAGAAGCTGGTGGCGATGGCCAAGTGGTGTGTGATCAAATGAGCCTTCGCTCTGAGTTGCAGGCCACGGTGAGGCCACAGGGAAGCCAGCGCGGGGCCTCTGGGACGTCAGATGCGGCCGAAGGTCCCCCAGGAGCGTGCGAGCCCCTTTCCTTGTCAGGGCAGTACACCAGCGATCGTTTGCGCAAATCTCCTAAGTGTTTCCTTTAGCTGTGCCCTGGCATTCTTCAGGTGTTTTGCAGTTGAAAAAAAATGTTTGCTTTTCCAGCAAATGTTTACAAAATGGAAATATTTGCTTTCCAAATAGCAATAAGCCATCACTCAGGTGCTATAAGCACCAGGCCCAGAGCTGCAACTAATTCCAAGAAGGGCTCTGTGTATTATTTGAACTAGCCTAATTTTGCACTTAAAATTCCCTCTGAATTATTCAGATGAGTTAGCCCATTCATACACGGAGTTTTCTCAAAGAACTATAGAGCAGGCCCTCGAATAAGGGCATCTCACTCAATGTCCCTTTATGAGATGCCATAGGAACTTAACTCTTGTATCGATTAGCTTACGGTAAAAATGGTTTCCTTACATGTCATTTCGCTAAAGTCTCAGAACCCATCGACAACGATAAGTAAGGACTTATTGTCCTTCTATTTCTTCCTCCAATACCTTTCTTCTCTCCTCCAAAAAAAAAAAAAATTTAGCTCCTGCATAACCAACAGTCCCGTCTTGCCGCCGGGTGACTTTGTAAAGAAGTTAAGGCTGTGGGAGCCATGTCTAGGTTAGTACTATGTGCAGAAGCCATGGCGGTGCTGTGGAGGGGGAGCTACCGGGACTCTCTCCCTCCGTGGCCCTAGTCATCTCAGCAATCCTGCTTTCTGCAGACCAGGGTACCAGAAAGGGGTTACCTTGGAGACAGGGAGACTTTACTGCATCACCACACAGACCAAAGTCTTTGGACCTCAGTGGCTCTGTCTGTGAGTGGGGAGAATGACACGCTACGTTGGGAGACCCCGAAAGCTAAGGAGCTGCTAACGAGCAGTCTTTGATTCCTCTACCAAGTCAAAAGAGTCTTCGATTAAAACCCAAAGAGAATCTCCCTTTGGGAACCCAGAGGCCACTTCCTCCCTCTGCTGTCTCCCTGGAGTTGGGATTGGAAGAGGCAAGGCGCCCAGCCCTCTGTCAGACAGAGGACGATGCCATGAAAGGTAGGAGTTAGCTTCTTCAGAGAAGAGCTGGGCCTCCATCCAGACCCCGCCCCCCCACCTCTCAGCACCCCGGTGTGTGCGCACTCAGACACGCAGTCTCTGCTCAGCACCTCTGGGCCTGCTCGCCTGGAGAGATCAGTTCGCAGTGATATCTGAACTCTTGCCAACAACACGTGTTTATCTCTAGGGTCAGCCTTTCCTGTTGGTGCTCAGGAGGCCTGGGGGAGCCGGGGGGTGGAGGGGTCGGGTAATGGCTGTTGGCAGCCACAAGGGGTGGAGGCGTGAGGGCACTGGGGACGTAGACCCTACCCTAGGGAGGGTGATGTGATGATGAGGTTTCCAGACCGAGTGTGGTCACGTGTTTCTTTCCTCACATCAGGATGAGCCCCCAGCCCTTCTGTTGCCAATGGCCATGAGATGGACATCACTTCACCCTGGGGTGGGCCTGAAGGAGCTAGCCAGGACTTGGGGGGCGGGTGCTCCAGGTGGGGGCTGTGGATCCGGGCCAGGAGAATGGCAGTGTTTCCATTGTTTAGTTTAGGATCTGAGCTCTGTTGGGACACAGCTGGTTCTGCCCCTCCCTTTGAGCTTAGTCATCGGTGCCAGGACCCTCCGGCTCTGGCAGTGGGACAGAGGGGCCAACCTCCCTCACTAGGCTGGGTCAACCCCAAGAGTCTGACACCCACAGACGGCATTTCCATCTCCCTTACACTTATCCCACCGGCAGGGGGTAAATGCTGAGATGCCTGCTCAGGGTTCCAGCCCAGCTCAGGGTGGTGGCTGTGAGAAAGCATGTTCAAAACCAATCTCAAAATCTTCGATTTAGTCCTCATTTCCAAGTGAGATAATCTCATCCTCCCTCGAGGTTGACTTTTGGGGGGCAGAAGGGAGGAGGCTGACCATTTGATTCCTCTTCTGCAAAAATGGATCATATCCACCACCACCCCCCATCCTCAGCCCAGAAATATTTACCCATGTTTATATAACCATGGCAACAGGCTTGATTCTCTACCACTTAAACCTTTTTAGAAAAAGAGAGAAGGGGAGCAGCCCTTTTTCCTGCTCCTGCCTCCTGCTCCGCCCAGATGACCTCTTCAGGAACAAGGTGAGAGAGAGCCCCACAGCCCCGGGTGTGACCTTGGCCTTCTCGGGGACAGGGAGCAAGAAAGTCACAATGGCCCAGCATCACGGAAGGACTCAGAGTTTGACAGTAATTGTCCTCCAAAGTCCCGTGGGAGCCGCACAGAAATAGCACCTCCGACTTGTCCGGGACCTCCTTTCGAGCGCCCGCTGAGACTACAGTCATCTGCTGAGGAGCGGACGGATGGAATGCGGTCTGGCTTTGCTGATGACATAGCCTTTATCTCTAAGACGGATTCCCCTCGTCCTGACTACACGGATCATTGTGGGAGTCGAGTTTTCTGAGTATAAAAGGGTTAGACTCACAGAGGTTTAAACCATCAGCCAGGGAAACTGAGGCCAGTGGAAAGAAAGCATTTGCGAAACATCATCCCGTGTTGTCAAGAGTCTGGAGGACCTGCCCACCCAGTCCCAGGTTCTGCCATGAGCCCAGCCTCAGTGCCGGAAGCTGTGAGGGCAGCCACCCCCATCCTCCCGCAGGAGTCCAGTGCCTGAGCCCTCGGGATGCAGAAACCCCAGCTTAAACTTGACTCTGAAGACGAGGGCAAGCACAGACCACAGGTGTGCTCGGTGTCAGTGAGGAAGCTCTGCCCTCGGGTTGGGGAACCCCCTTTGGGGTCTTCTTCCCTGTAAGGCTTCCGCTGTGGACTCTAGGCTGATGTCCAGGCTCCTTTCTCTACCCCACACCATAGGGTTCACCTCCAGGACTGGCCCAGGGGGCTGAGGACAGCAGCTCGGGCCTTGGGGGTGGCTCCCCTCGGGACACTCTCCGCCCCATGGGAAGGAGCCCTTACAGCGGTTCTCAACCTGTGGGTCGCGACCCCTGAAAATACATCCTGCATATCAGATATTTACATTATGATTCATAACAGTAGCAATATTACAGTGATGAAGTAGCAACGAAAATAATTTTATGGTTGGGGGTCACCACAACATGAGGAACTATTAAAGGGTCGCAGCATTAGGAAGGTTGAGAACCACTGCATCTCAGCTCACAGCTTCAAGGAAGCCAGAGGGTGGGGAGGGCCAGCGGGGCGGCCTCCAGGGAGCAGAGAAATGCAATTTCAGGCTCTCCCAGCGCTCGTGGGAAATGCCGGAGCATGATCCCGCGGGTGTCGGTTTTTCTGACCCACGCGGGGTCCTGAACAGCGACCTCGAAGGGAGGGTGGGCACCTGGGCTTGACGAGAGGTCACGGAAGCACAGACCCGCACCTCTCCTTTCCTCCTTCCATCCCTCGGCTACCGCTCCAGCTTCTCCCCACAGGGCTCTCGGCGCGAGGCCGAAACACGCGGGCACGTCACTGTAATTGAGGACCTGGGAGAAGGGGCTCTGCCAGTCTTCACGTCTAAAGATGTTCATTTGCATCCCTCTTCCTTCTCTCTCATCTCCCAGGATAAGCAGACGCGCTCTTTGCTGACACGGAGTGGAATGGCCGCGCCTGCACTCCCTCTTCTCGCCTTGTGTGGGGGTCTTCAAGGTTCTGTCTCGCTCGGAGACCCTAAATTCTGCTTGGGGCACTCGTTCCCGTTAATTACCTTGAAACCACACGTCGCTAATTGCCCTAATTACTCTCGAGCCG